CATCAAAATCATTACCAGACCTAAGCAATAAAACACTCTTATCCATGCCAAGCAAGCCAACATATGAGTTAGGATCGGTATCCACAGTTATAGAAATAATACTACCAGGTTTAACGGTATCAGGTGTGTCAATGGAAATCTTAAAAATTTAAGCCAATTCATAACCAATGCGAAAATGAGTAAAAAGTTTTTTTTTTACTTACACTATTTTCAAATTGTTTTTCTACCGAAAATGTTGTCTCGTAGTAGAACATTTTGCCATTTTTGAAAAAATAAGCAAAAATATGCGCTTTTGGCATCATTTCATATGTTGGTGTAATAGAGAATTGGTGCGTTTGGGTGCTGCCGCCACTGGGCACTTGTATGACATTATTATAAACGATATTGCCACGTCCAACAATCACACAAACAAAGCTAGAAAATGACTCATGCGCCACCAGACGTATTTCCATAGGGCTACCCACCGTTGGACTGAAAAAGTAACAAACGTTTTTTTAATCATTAAATTGGTCTTGCTTGCCTCTCTGGATTTAACTCCAACTTCGAACTTGTTTGTCTTACTTTTGCGTTCTGACGTAGACTCCACCTTGACTGCCGTTACTTCGTTGAGAGAGCTTAATTTCCCCCAACGATGTTTCTCCATTATATTCAATTGTTATATTGACATTAGTGTAGTTTGAACACGTAATTTCCGCTTCAACATCACCATTTTCATCGGCATAACTAACAATTTTCGAAGGTTCTTCTTCATTCACGTCCACATCGAGTTTCACATAAATTTCTTCATCGACATCAACCGGCGTTGCATTGAGGTGTGTAAGGCGCGCACGATAGGTGAATGTGTCGCTTGGCCCATCACATTCGTGCGCCATTGACGGTGTGTCGATTAAATAACGTTTGGCCAAAATACTAACTGTTTTCGAAACTGTACGCTGGGTTAAGGTGACAGTATCTTGTATGGTGGCATATATTTGGATCCTCTGAATTTTCTTGCCAAATTCACTTAGTTGAAGAGACAGTTCTTTTTTTCCATCAATCAGTGGCAATTCTCGTTCGATGGGAGGTCGCTCTCCCTTTGAGATGATCTTTAATAGACAGTTTCCCGATATAGGTTTGCCAAAAGTGTAGCTAGAAAAATAATGGTAATTATGCTTAAGTTTTAGTTATCTATGAGTGATTTGCAGTTAGTCTGCTTACCACATAAAATTGTACTAATCTATTAATTATTCTGAAGATCCTCCAACTATCCAACGACTCACAATCTATCCTTGACTGGACTCAAATTTGTGATCACTGGCGCTGTAATCGCCTAAGCAATTTTGGCGAGTCCAAAACAGCACGCCAGTCATTTCTCTTCTGTGCCAACTGACGCCAATTGGAAATGCCAAGTAAAACCAAGTCCTTCTCCACTTAGTCTTTGCAACGCAGAGGAGGCCTTCCTCTTTCTCTGTTACCAGCATCGCGGCCCGCGTTGTATACTTTCAGAGCAGGAGCGTTTCTGTCCATTCGAACGACATGGCCAAGCCAGCCGAGCCGCTGAATTGTAATTCACTAATAATTCTAATATTGATGTAATAAGCTATGGCTTTTACTCTATAAACCTCAAGACCCAAAAAGGGAATGTGGGTAAAGCCCAAAACATAGACGGCAATGCGAGTAAACACACAGAAACAAATCCGCTGTCTCAAAACGGTTCTATAAAAAAGATAACTGAACCATCTCTGCACCAGGAAGCCTTGGATAGACCAATGGATACTCTCCCTTTGACATCACAACCACAGATAGGGCAGGGACAGTGAGACGAGTTTTTAGCCTATAAACCAAAGCTATTGAGAATGGTGTCCTGCACTAGGACTACGAAGACGTTGACAAAATTGTAGAAGCATTCTAGGAAGACAGGCTAAAAGCAATGGATGGTGCAACACAGGGTTTGCGAACTCAACTCTAATGCATATCATGACGTATCAACCCCAGTGGCGGTAGATAAGATTTTAATAAAGAATCCCTTTTCGTATATTGTACTCACACAGTTTATTGACGACCACACAGTGTGTATGAGTGTGGAATTTCGGTCTAAACTACTAAGACTAACACATAAGTACGCCGATGCAACTGAAGGAGTGAGCAGACATACCTTACCTAAATAAGAGCGTACATCCAACGCACTTAAGGCCCTGATAGCATCCTCCAGCGACAAAGTCTGTTCACGTTCAAGGCGCAAAAGGCGACTCCATTGGTGGAATCCCGAGATCTCCTCCCTGAGGCGAACCAGCAGGAAGCTTTTTAATCTAGCGAAACAAACTGTATCTTGGCAACCCTACAAGGATGCTTTGAAAGCCTTAAAGGGTTCAGTACGAACAGCTCAAAAGGGAATCTTCGAAAACTTTCTACGGTAACATTGAGGAAACCTCTAAGGGCAACCGACTACGGAAGGGCCTATCTAAAACTCCAGTTGGCCCAAACTATATCCAAAAACCTGGTGAATGGACCTCCTCTTGCTGCGAAATGCTAGATGTTCTCATGGACGCCCATTTTCCGGAGTGTACAACTGAATCAAAGGCAGGCGCGCCTAATCAGAAGACTTATCTTCACTCAGTAGAGAGCATAGTGCAAGAAGAAAAGGTGAAATGGGCGATTAAGACCTTCAAACCTTAAAAAATCTCCGGGACCGGATGGCATATTCCCTGTCGAAATTCACCAGACAGTCGACCTTTTATACCGACTGCTTGCTGAGATCTTTAAGGCTTGCCTTCACCTTTGCCACATTCCTAGAGGAGTGACAAAGGCTAGGGTAATCTTCATACCGAAAGGTGGAAGGCTCTCTCACGTCAAACCCAATGACTTCAAGCCAATAAGCCTAACGTGCTTTCTTCTTAAAACTCTAGAAAGACTTTTTGACGCTCATATCAGACAGAGCTTTTCTTCTGAGGACGTGTCGGAGTGTTAACATACCTATTCTAATGGCAAATCCGTGGACAATGCGCTTCACGAAATTGTCCACAAAATTGAAAAAGGACTCGCCTTTAAGGAATCTACCTTAGGCATCTTTCTTTACGTAGAGGGCGCCTTTAACAATATTCTTCCAGATGCTGTTGTGGGCTCACTTTCAAAAGTGGGGCTGGAGCGGCCTCTGGTGGAGCTTATAAGACTTCGCCTTGAAAGAAGAATTATCTCATCAGAGTTGGGGGCTGCGTCCATAACTAGGCATGCTACGAGAGGTACTCGTCAAGGAGCAGTTCCCTCCCCCGACTCTGGAACCTTAACCGTAAACTCAATTCTGATGAGACTACAGAGTACCAAGCATCTCCAAACGCTAAGCGACCTTTTGCAGAGCGCTCTCTGTCTCGTCAACAGCTGGTAGAGGGAGTGTGGACTTAAAGTCCGTCCCACCAAGACCAAAATGATACTATTCACGAGGAAATATAAGATACCGTCTTTTCGTTCTTCCACCAAATTCTGAATGGGGGTTCTTGAGCCATTTTTTGATATAGGGCGTTTTCGAACCGGCTGCCGAGAACAGTCGACCTTCCACTCTCTCGTACGATATACTCCCATAAAAAAATGAATACATTTTTGGTTGTAATGAGAAACTGGTAATCAGGGTTGCCACTGACGAAAAAAAATATTTACCATCCACTTGAAAAAAATCTACCAAATCTGGGGAATATCTACAAATAACTTTTTTTAAATTATTTTAATAAAAACTATAGTTTTGTTATTTTTTATTTATTTTAATTAAAACTAGATTTTTTTTATTTTTTTTTAGTTATTTCAATAAGAAAACTCTTTTTAAGAACTTTTTATTTAACTAGTTATACGGTATTTGAGTCATATTATTGGCATATTCTCAGTTTCCTTCAACCAAAAGCGGAAGTGATGAAGCTAAAGGCAACAGTGAAACTTCTTTATTTAAAAAACTTCAACTCGAGTTGTTATAGACAAATACATTGACTCAAAAAAGTGATTTTATTTTAATATTCGCACTATTTTTCGAGTAAAATTTTTTTATTGCTTTAACTAAATCCAAAAAAATCGAGGATTCAAACTATATACAACATATAGAAAAATTCCAAATATTTTCGTCTAAATTTCGAATTTTTTACTCTGAATTTTTAGAACAATTTAAGGTTTGGAGTTTTGAAGCAAATACTATTTGAGTGTAGCCAACAATGTGCTGCTTAAAATTCCCGTTGATTTTTTTTATTTTTTTTTCTTTGGTAAAAAATGGCGTTGATTTTTTTTGCGAACAATCATAGTTACATACCTGTCAAATTTTTCTTTATATTTAAATAATCATTTAAAATATTTAGGCAATCAAAAGCTCCTCGTGATTCCAGTAAAATTAGTTTTGAATGGAGCGCGATGTGTTCGCCTTATATCGATATATATTTATACGTATGTAAGTATATAAAAGGCATGCAAAGAAATTTATAATATATTTAAAAATAAATACGAAAAATAAATCGGGAACAGAAAGTTCATCAAAAATCTACCAAAATGAGAAAAAATTTACATTTTTACCAACCCAAATTTTTTCTACCAATTTTGGTAACAATTTACCAAAGTGGCAACCCTGCTGGTAATCGATACAGCTACGAAATTTTTACACAATATTGAAGAAAAGGTAGCGATAATTTCAATTTCTTATTTTTTTTTTTTGATTGTGATACTCTTGCAGCAAATGTACTTACTGCGCCCGTACTGTTACAAGAAATGCTTCCTGATTAAAAGACACATGACTGGGTGCATCCAATTCCACCTCAAATAAGGGCAGCTCATATTCTTTAACTTCAAAAATTTTTTCTGCCAACTTGATATCTCCTTGAAAAACCTCCATAGACCACATACCCGAGACGACAGACTCAGCTAATTTTAGTTTTCCCTTGAAGACGCCAGTATTGAGTACAATATCACTAAAACGCTGAATGCGATTATTCTCAGAATCCTATAAAAGGAAAAATAACACTAGTTCACAATAATAAATTCCCATATGATGCTTATCTCACCTTAATTAGCACAGACAGGGGTTGGTTGACCTTCGCCGGTAATAAATACTGATCTAAGAATATTACACGGAACTGTATCGTCTCTCCATGTTTATACATTGCCTTATCAGTTTGCAAGTATACCCGCGGCAAATTGTCTACAAATTCCAAATTCGTTGCATTTTCGAAGAGAATTCCCGACAACCCCTTGGCTTCTAAAGTGTATGTGCCCGCTGCAATATTGGCCAATTCAAATGTTACACTGCGCACAGAGTTCGACGGCACATCGATTTCTGTAAACTCTATGTAATTTTGTGGTCCTTTTAGAGTGATTCTGATTTTCGCATTCATCAGCACATCTGATACACTCACATGTGTGGTGTATTTAGAGTTGGGCCGTATAGAGCCGGGTGCTGCTATTGTATAATATCCTTGTGCCTGTACATAACTCACGATTACCGTAAGCACAAAAACGAATATGCCGAGCTGTTTAGAAAACGTGTGCATTGCGAATGATGCGAAATTAAGTACTAAATTGCAATTGAATTGAATTTGAAATTTACAGATTAGATTACAGATGCATTTCCGTATACATGGAATTGTAACAGTCGATTTGCTTACACATAAATATGTACTTATGTATAATGAGCCACTATCCCTATGGAAAATCCTATAGTTATAGCTAGCGCGCTTCTAGTATTCTTGGAAATCAACTACGAAATTTGCAATTCAGTTGCGTATGCAAAAGTTAGTGAATCTGTCGATAGATCTAGAAAAGCGGAATTCCCAATATTATTTTTATATATTTACATAGAGGGGGCTATCGATAATACTGCCTATGGCTCTATATCAAGGGCATCAGTTCAAAGAGGCATATACCCTTCTACTGTCGGCTGGATCGACGCTATGGTTCTTGAACGTGAAATCACATCTTCCCTGGGCAACACTCAAATTAGGATCAGAGCCATGAGAGCTGTGCTTTCTTCCTTGCCCTGATCACTTCAATGCAGTAGACGATCTCCTAATCAGACTAAATGAGTATGGTTTTATTGCTGCTGGGTACGCAAATTACCTGGGATATATAGTTACGGCACAAATTCGTCAGTAGTGTCGGACGTAGTGCAGTGTTACGTGCGGTTTAAAACTGGGTCGCCAATGAGCTCCTAAGCAAACAATTCTCAAGAGCTTATTCTTGTACCGTTTACAGCAAGCAAGGTATAAACCATATTCTGGGTCAGCCTTCCTTGGGGACTACGTTAAATAAGAACCTATTTAATTGGAACGCCCCTCCTAAAAATAATGCTATCAAAGCTAAACCAACCAAGAGAAGTATGCTTTTGTAAAAAGTTTTAAGTTATATTCATCATATTCTTACCTAATAAATTCTTCTTCAGCTAAAGGGGACTATGGTCGCTTTTACCTCCCTTTTATTAGCTTGGGATGTAACTATGTAATATTGATGCACCTAAAAGATGCAGCGATTTCTATTATCAAGTTACATACATACCTGAGGACAGTACGAATGGTTTTACGAGGTTTTAGTTTTTTAAACTATAATTTTATTGTTTACAGGCAAGTGGATTATTTGTACTGAAAATCTGTAGTGGAATTCTCATAAGTTCTCATGACTGGAATAATCTCACCCGTGTAACAAGTGTGCTTGAGAGTTTTCTTACACTCTCACTCGTATTATCAGCTCTCATATGCTACATTGTGAAGAATTTTTATTTTCGGCTATACATAATGTGAGAAGCCTAATAACGCTAGAGTAATAGAATACAAGACTGCGCCAAATCAAGCTGTGACCAACCGGGTGTGACGTCATAAAAGTGAGAGCATGAGGAAGCAAAGAGTAAATTCCAAAGAACAAGAAGAAAACTCGAACACGTGATGCTAAATTATGATGTAAAAGCAAATATAATTGTAACCATTCTTCAGTCTTTTAATTTTGTACGTGTATTCGGTACAAGCACACCATTTTAGGTACATCTGGAAGGTAGCAAGATAACTTGTCGGGAAATTTTCTCTTATTCTTCTAGGCATTTCAGCGTGGTTTCTAGTGTGGGAAACTTTTCTAATAGTCTCCCTTTTTTGTAAAAAATCGTTTTGGCTTGGAACTGCTCAGAGAAATTCCGTCGAAGTCAATTTTTAAGAGCAAAGAGTGCTTGATATAGTCCAGAAGTAGACATGGCACCGAAGGATGAGTTTACCTCCCACTATCAAAAATGTATACCCATAAAAATACATATTTACTTTTAGGTACATTTATCTACTTTTAGTCTCAATTTTTTCGGCAAATAGATACAGTTAAAAAATTTAGTTTTCATTCCTAATGCGAAAAGGTATTTTAAGACGTCAGCAAATAGGGGCATGCTGCCAATTCGACGAAGGGAATAGCGCCATCTTTATTTTCTGCACCGCGTAATAACGGACTTGTGAAGTGCGCCATCTTCTATACATAAATCTTGCTACCGGTACTATTGATTGTACTGACTATAGGCAATATATGACTATCGATACTATCGACATATGTATTTCATACATTTGTCCGTATTTATACGTGTAGAAACATTCTTAGCATTATTTCACAGATCTAAAAGATATTTGGGATTTATGGTGAATTTTAGTTCTTTAAGTCTAAAAATTTGGCCTTCGAAGCCGGCAAAGTCATCAAGGGAGGACGACTTTCGTTTTTAGGGATGCACAGTTAAGAATTACACTCTTATAAAATTACTAGCGTTACCCGGCTAGTCTGATAAAATGGAAATATGTATGCATGAAAATCAGAGGTGAACGTACATACATACAAATGTAGATGATTTTTTTTTATTGTACTTCTTGACTTTAATTTAAAATCACTTTCGAATGCAATTCGGACATACAAATACGATATGTATTATCATTTTCGATCGCTCGCTGGTTATCGGTGTATTTAGCAAGTGATTAGCTCGCCGCTTATTTGATTGACTTCGCCGACCTATGTATGTCAGCGTGCCTTTTCCCTGGTATTGTAATGAAAATTATCCTATATGACAGTAAAGTGTACCTAAATTCACTTTAACCGAGTATTCTGTTAATCTAAAACATTTTTTACGAAAAAACGAAACAGGGCTTGAAATATATTTCACCCATCCGGGTGGAAAAAGTTACAGTTTTGTGTAGAACTTCAGCTGGGTCATACATATGTCGGTCTACTACAAATCTGTAATAAGAAAAGAGGTAGTTCGTGTTTCTCTGCTAAAAATTCTGTATGGAATCCCTTAAATTTTCTGCGTTTGCAACATGCGTGGTAGACTTTGGCGACCCCCAACGAAATTATTTATGTCAAAAATTTAATTGATTCGACCATATTAAAAAATATTGGCGACAACAATATTAAATTTCCATCAAGGAATTTTTAAAAAGCTTTCACCTAATATTTTAGTGTTTTTTAAGTTTTTATTATTTCCTACGTTTGTATGAGTAGCCTTTTTCAATATTTTCCTTTTTTCATTCTATAAAAAATTTGTCAAATACCTTTCGTTTGGTAATTGTAAATATTTAGTCTTCAATTTTTATATTAGTAATAACGCTATTGATTTTTTTCTTTAAATCAAAGATTTCTTAAATATCTTTTGTTTGATACTAAAATTGTAATATTTAATTT